TGGGCACATAGGAATGGGCACAGTAGAGCACATAGGAAATGGGCACAGTAGAGCACATTGGAAATGGGCACAGTAGAGCACATTGGAAATGGGAGGGGTCAGAAGTCTTCCTTGACACTCGATGAGGTTCCTTCGCTCATACTCTGGGAGTCATTTAGGGGGTCCCTTTTGACAACCTGACTGAGGAGTCTTAGAGGTTGCAGGCTGCAGGCAGGTGCGTTGCAGGGATAGCCTTTTAAATGCCCCTGAAATTGCTCTTTCGTAAAGTAGCCATAACGGGAGACTGGCATGGTCTGAATGTTGGTGGCCCCCCATAATTCCTATCTTGAATTCACAATAAATATGTGGAAGCCATGTCTTGGATGAACCTGTGGTATCCCAATGTGATGGTATTAAGAGGTGGGGTCTTTGAGAGGTGACTAGATCACAAGGGCAGAGAACCTTCATGAATGAGATCAGTCCCTTATAAAAGAGACCTTCTGCCTTTTAATGACACAGCCAGGAGGCAGCATTCATGAGGAAAGGGCCCTCACCAGACATCGCTAGCTCCTTGATCTTAGACTTTCCAGCCTCCAGAACTGTGAGAAATAAATATCTGCTATTTATAAGTTGCCCAGTCTAATGTATTTTGGTATAGCCACCCAAACAGACCAAGACAGGAACTAAAATGTACATCTTAAATAGGCCAACTAAGTCACCATTATGGAATGTGCTATTCACATCCTCATCATTTTTTTTTTTTTTTTTGGTCAGTAAATTTGGGCTGACACTTTTTCTTAGTCGCCTGTGTGGGCTTAGAAACATATTCTTCCTTTTTTTTTTTTTTTTGTCTTCTGCGAATTAAAAAAAATAAATTGGGAACAGGCCCAGACTAGAATCAAAAAGGTAATCACTGAGCGTGTAGCAAGGGAGCCATTGCAGAACAACTGGCAAAAGGGCCAGCTGGCCCTGCCTCTGGCCTTACCTCTGTCTATTAGAGCAGGGAGAGCCCTGGGCAGGCAGGGTGGTGTGGAAGTACTTACCTGGTCTTGCATGAGATATGCTGATCTGCAGGGAAGGCCCTTGGGGCCTGGAGGACCAGTTTCAGGTGTCCTCTCTGTGAACACATCAGCCCTGGAATCAGAGGGTTCAGTGTCTGCAGAAGGTTCCTGATCCCCTAGATTTTTTCTTTTTTCATGACTCGCTTTACTTTCCAGGATAAATGTCAAGTACATCAATCTCAGCTTTAGATAACAACAGATTTATTTATTTAAACTTGATTAAAGATATAAAACAAGAAGAAGAACTAAAACCCAACCCATCATGCCATACCTTATTTGAAGACGTAGACAGACACATCAAGCTTATAATTAGGAGGTAGACCTAAATTTTAAAAGGCTGCTTAGTTCAGGGATTCCTCAGCAGCTTCCTTTGTCTAGGAAGAAAGTCTGAGCTAGACTCCAGGGAGCACATAACCAGGCCAGGCCAATCAATGAAGTCACTGTGTTCTCCTGGCCTGTGACTGGTTCCCAGGATGCCCTTGTGGCCCTAGCCAGGCCAAATAAGTGATATTCCTTAGGATGTTTCAAACTCATGTTGAGAGGAAGAATTTTCCAATCTTGCATTGCTAAGATGGAATTCAGAGCTGCCTGTGGCTACGTTTCCTTTAAATAGAAAAATCCTGTGATGAAGACTACAGATGGAATTAGACAGAGTTGAAAGACTGAGGGGAGACAGAGTGGGAAAAAACCCGGAGCAGCAAAGAAAGACAGGCAGAGCTCCAATGGTATCACGTAGACCTTGAGTCTTGTTCCTGAGATCAGTCCCTCTCTTGCCAAAACCCGGGTTGTTTATTGGGCTAATGAATATCCTTTTATCCCTGGATCGTCCTCTTCTAACTGACTTCTTAATCTTGGCAACCCCAAGCTTCAGTCCCAAACCATTTTCTTGTCTTTATCTGTTTGCTTTCTTGGTGATCTCATCTAGTCCCACGGCTTTAAGTACCACTCACGCTGATGACTTTTAAATGTGTAACTCTAGCCCTGACCTCTGCATCCATGTATCTGGCTGCCTGTTCGACAATGCCTCTTGGTTGCCTGTTGGTCATTCTGATTTGACATGTGCAACCCAACACTCCCCCCCCCATCGCCCTCCGAGCCCCCAGTCCCCACCCACTCTTCCCTGTATCCATAGATGGCAGGCACCACCAACTGCGTTTACAATGGTTCAGGCCAGCAACCTAAGCATCATCCCCGATTCCCCCCTATCTTGCACCCCCAGCATCCAATCCATCACCAAATCCTTCTGGTTCTACCTCTAAAATAAATCTTCCATCTGCCTACTTCCTTCCATCTCCTCTTTTCCTATTCTGGTCTACCGCGACAGCTTCCTAACTGGTTTTCTTGCTCTTCCTCTTGACCACCTATAACATATTCTCCACCTCTACACAGCACAGAGAGCACTCTGTTTTAGAATTTGAAGGAGATAATGTCATTCCTGTGCTTAGTTTCCTACAATTACTTTCATAATAATTTAAAAAACTCTGGACTTCTTATCATGGTCCACAAGACTCTATGATCTGGCCCCTGTCCATCTCTCTAATTCATCCTCTTCCTTAATTAAGTCTTCTTTCCTTGAAACTGTCAAATTTGTTCCTCTGCCTTAAGGCCTTTGCATTTGCACATCTTTGCCCAGAATGTTTGCATGACTGGTTCCTTTTCATCATCTGATTGCCTCGGAGAAGACTTCTCTGTCCCCCAAATCTAAGTTATCTCTGATTCCTTAATAACACTCTCTACACTACATTGTTTAAGTATCTTATCACAATCAGGTGTTCTCTTCTTACGCATTCTTTATATTTTGTCTCTCTTTCTCTCTCTGCTAAAATGTAAGCACCATAAAATCAGGAAAAGAAAGAAAGACAGAGAGAGAAAGAGAGAGAGAAAGGCAGAAAGAAAGACAGAAAGAGAGAGGAAGGAAGGAAGGAAGGAAGGAAGGAAGGAAGGAAGGAAGGAAGGAAGGAAGGAAGGAAGGATGGGAGGGAGGGAGGGAGGGAGGGAGGGAGGGAGGGAGGGAGGGAGGAAGAAGGAGAGGGAGGGAGAGAGAGAGAAATAGAGAAGGAACGCAAGCTCTCAGGCTTGCCTGCTATGAGATTAGCTCCCTGGGCTTGTCCTTCCATATCCCTCTGTCCTCTCATCTGTAGATGCTCCCTCTAGCTGCTGACGTCTCTGCTCCAGCCCTGGGACTCTGAGCTTTGCCTCACACTATATTGTTGCTGTTTACTTGGGTGCAGCCCCCGGGATCCCCTCCTGCCTCAGAGCCTGGGAGAACGACTGTAAGTAAGCAGTGCACAGGATACGCTAGCTAATCTCCTTCCCACCCAGGGAGACCCTTCATGAGGCTGACTGCTGCTCCATCCGGGTTGGGAATCTCGATGTTTCCTCCCTGGCTTCATCTGCCCTCACACTTCATCACCATCTCGTTTGTCTGTGGGCCGGCCTCCTGCGACCACGCCATCCTCTGATCTCTCTGATGAAACTCTCATTTTCCTTAACTCTTCCCCAAACTATAACTCAGCCGACATTTTTCTCCAACCATATCTTTTCCCAGCAGTCTGAACCAAGGCAGCCAATTTTATTTATTTATTTTTTTTGCTCCGTTCCCTCTCATCCTCTCCATTTCTAGGACAGATGTTCCCTTCTCCTCTTATTAATTATCACAAATACCCAAATAAAACCTAAATATAGACTCACTTATTTTCTCTTCTCTATCAATAGGAATTAAGGAGCTGTTATCTGTTCCTTCCTGTTACTAAGAAAATCCTTGGGTAGAAAAATAAAAATAAAAACACTGAAATTACCCATTTATTTAATTACAAGGCACTTGCTTTCATAAGCCACATTTTCACTGCTGAGAAGATTCTGATTTGGCAACAAAAGGCAAAAGCTATTTCTAGTGAGAGCGGCAAGGAGTCACGCTCGCAAATGCCGCGGTGTGAAGGAAGCATGTGGAGCCGCTTTAATGGCTTTCTACCTTCGCGGGAGGGGCCGCCGGGAGGTGGGAACACAGGCATGGGGAGGTATAGACGCAGGGAGATGGAGAGAGTCCAGGCAGGGAGATCAAGGGACCGAACAAAATGTTAGAAAAGGATAGAGCAACACAAAGAGACTTATAGAGAGAGACAGGGACAGACCAGAGTGCCAAGGAAGAGATGAATTCATCGTTTATTAACCATGGGAAAATAGCGAGGGCAGGGAAAGCAAGAAGCTCAGTGAGAGAAAGAGGTGGAGGTTCGAAGGCAAGGTCTTTAAAAGTTGGGCGTATTTTCCTGGGGACAATGGCTGCCACTTGCGTCATTGTCACCTGATGGTAATGCCCACTTTAGGGTTTGTATGTTGCTGTTCATCATTTAAGAGTCTCAGAGATGAATACAGAGGATTCAAGCATGGCTGGATACTTTTCTAATGAAATAGGTTTCTATTAAAATAGGAACGTATGGTAGGCCAGTATTCTCTTTTAGAGACAAATAAATAAGAGTAACATAAACAGAACCAAGACTTAAAGAAATAGAGTGATCTAGGCACAATTGCAGTCTTATTGCCAATTTCACTTCAGTTCTGATTGTGCCTCAGTTGAACCATGGTTTATACACAGATAACTAGATGAAATATTGACGTTGACTTTTCCAGACATTTAGGAGCAGACCTAGGACCTGGCCCGGAAGCATTTACTTTAAGTGACCTGTCTAGTCCTGATATTAGCAGCTCAAGCTGGTGGGCCTCAGGACTTCACATGGAACTTGATCTTTTAGTTGGCTTCTTACATGTCCGCCTCTGTCTTTAGACTGCTTGCTGTATGAGGGCAGGGACCAGGAGTACGTGTTCATCCTTGCAATGCAAGCACGCAGCCGAAAGCCCGGCATGAATTAGGTTCTTGCGCGATATTTGTTAGATAAGTAAGTCAACAGAACTTGTCAGTATGAAACCCTTTAATCACAGCACTATAATATGAGCATTATTCATAGCAGGGTTCACGGATACCATGTAATGAAGTCGCTGGAATGAAATGTCTTCTCTGTCTTATGGCTCACTTCAACGTTTCATGGGATCCATTTACCTCTGGCACGGCAAATAGATTTCATCTCAAGAGCAGACTCTGGTTAATAGACGGTAGCTGGCAGGGAAGCTGTGCTGGGAAGAGATATGTTGAAAACAAGAGCATGCTGGGGGGAAGGACGCCAAGCGGATGAGCTCCGTGCACAGCCATGGGTACAGAGGGACTGGTGGCAGGATGCCTGCTGCGAACCGGCTGAGGACCTTGTGACCCGGCAGGAGCCACCTCTCTCACCCTCGCGTAAGCATCTCCTTGAGAAGTCTGTTCTCTTCCGTGGGCCCAGAAGGAGGGAAAATAGGTGTGCTGTCAGCTAAAAGAGACAAGGTAGGCCACCTCCTTGTTTCCACTGAACTCTCGTTTCACCTTTCTAATTTCATGCCCGTTTATTTTGAGAGTAGTTATGGAAGGTAGAGGAGAAGGGACAATAAGTTTTGTTCGTTCCCATTAACATGAAAGTGATGTCTACTATAGGCTAGGCCCTTGGGATGCAGTGATTAACATGACATTATCCAGCTCCCAGGGAGCTCCCAGCCTGCTTGGGAGATCAGTCACATCAAGAATTATTTTAATACACTGAGTCATGCGATACTGAATGCCAGTCTCCTACAGAAAACCTTTCTGTGACCCATTGCTTCCCACCTAAAGGTCAAATTTCTTACTGTGGCACACAAATCCCTATTCACACAGATTCTATTTACTCCTCCAACTTTCTCTCCCTGGTACTCTGTGCTTCATCTGTACTGAATTGTTCTCAATTTCTCAAATAAATCATATGTTTGTCCCCTCCAGATTCTCACGCTACTACTCAGTCCACCTGTAACACTCTTTCCTCCTTTCTCTTCCCCTGCCCTACCTTCCCTGCCCACTCACTGTCAGACAGCCTTCCTCCAGCAAGTCTCCTCTGACCTGGCTTGTCCAGGTCATGTGCTGTCTCATATGTTCCCATGTCACACGGCACCTTGCTCATCTGAGCATGTATCACACTATATTGGAATTGGCTTATTACACGTCTTTTTCTGCCTAGAGACTGCTTGCTCTCTGAGGGCAGGAACCAGGAATACGTGTTCATCCTTGCAATCTCAGCAAGCAGCAGAAACCCTGGCACGAATTAGGTTCTTATAGGATATATGTTAGAAAAGTAAGTCCATAAAAGTTTCATGCAGGTGGGTGACTCGCTATGCCTTCCATTTAGTGTTGTTGGATATTGGACACAGAAAGAGGACACGAGAGAGTTTTTCGAATCTCAAAGGGGAGAGTTAACCACTTCTTCATCTCAGTAGCATCTAAATTTTTCTAAGACTATCACTTTAGGTCCTTCTCTGATTCTGACTTTCACTTTCTAAGCTCTGCAGATTGCACCTGTGCTGATATACATAAAATTTTGCCCTTCCCATGGGTATTTGAAATTAAAACTTCATTCTGGAAGGTAAAAAGTCTTCAAGGACTGAATAAATAAAGAATAACAATCATTAATATGTGGTCAGAGCTTTGGGATTTTCAAAAAGCTTTTGTGTTATATTTATTTGCTTCCTACAATAAACTTGGGCTCAGAAAGCTTAATGATCTGCCCAATGACAGATAGAAAGGACAGAGCCAGGAATCAAGGATGGTTGATCTTTAAAATCCACATCCTATGTCCTTTCTCCCACAACACCATGACTCCTTGCAGCTGTTGGTGGACTTCTAGGCACTGAATAGAAGTGTGAGACAAGTATTTGGGGATAGGGTAGATCTAGCTGGTACTATCCGAATCATACCATATAAGCAACTTCCTCCTCTGCTTACCATGAAGCTATTCCAAGGGAGAAGATATGGCACTGACCATCTTGAAAACCCATTAGTGAACACTAAATTTGGGTTTGGTGCTAAGCTGGTTGAGTGGGTTCTGGGGCTGCCATTGCAGTATTGACACCCTAAGGTGAGTCCAAGGCATGCACAGGTGCATTGTGGCCAGAGGTACAACAATTGGCAAGCCAGGGCACCATCCTAACTCGGAAAGAGTGATTTCACTCAGGGACTCTGTTGAATGCCAACTGATGGTGGATGTGTCCTGGCAGGGTGGAGTCCCTTCAAGGTGTTCATGCTGTCACAGGAATGCCAAAGCTAGGATGAGAAACGGGGTGGATAAAGAGTTAATCCAAAGTTGGAAACTCGATATCATTTGAATCTAAGAGGCACAGAAGACCAGAGCCAGTGAGTTAAGAGGAATACATGCAAGGACCAAATGAAGTTGTACAGGCAGGATCCTACCATGTTAGGATTCTTTGGGAAAGTTTAAACCCCATAAAAGAAATTGCTTTGAGCTGAGCCTCAGACAGCTGACTAGGAAACCAGTTGAGGGATTGGGAAACTGAATACAGAAGAGGGGTAGCCATCCCCATGGATAAGTAAACCTCATCTCTAAAATTCCTGCTCTCTTCTTGTGCTCACCTGCAAAGTCGAGATCCAGCCTTCCTCCACTTCCCATCTCCATCCATTTGCAAACCAGGAAAGCTTTTTCTCGTTTCCTTCGGCTCCCAGGATTGGCAACACACAGGAGCTTGCTATTTTTCTGTCACTCAGCCTTTCCCTACCTCAGGGCGAAACAGCCATTGATTACAGACCAACCAAATTAAAGCTTAGGGACGCTTAAGTGAGCAATTATTATCAGCCACAAAATGCTGGAAATTGTTTATTAGGCATCACCTTGTTGTGTACTCAGACAGCTTCCTGTGGTGTTTGCTCTGACTACTCTGAGAGTTGGAAGGATGGCTCCCAAGCACATGGATTTGCTTGCTGAGTTTTCATAGTTCACAGCTGAGAAGGATTTACTCTTCAGGATTGTGGGTGGGGCCTAAATTCATCCATTCCCCCTGCCTCCAAGAAGACTTTAATTATGTTAATTAAGAAAGTAGAAGACCTGGGAAGAATAGAAGATAGAGATCCCCTAATTTAAGGTGTCCCTATGAATGGGAATTCCCTCCACCGTGGTGAGAACGTTTGGAGGTCAAATCCATCCCTGCAGTAGTGGCTGCACACAGAACAGATCCGATCTATGGCATGGCCTTTTCTCCGGTCTCTGCAGCCAAACTTCTGTATTTCACTTATTCTTGCTTATTTCTCAAGCCCAGGTCTGTAGCTTGAACACTGTGAGTCTCTGATAGCTCCCCAATGAAGATAAGATAGTCTAGTCGGTTTCTATTTCCTCTTGCCCAGTGCGGTAGGTGCACATTCACACCCAGGATACTGAGTGCTCATGAAATGCCACAAGATGGTCTGGAAGTGGAGGATCACCGCATTCAGCATGGGTGGGCTAAGTGCCCCCCATTATGAGGCCACACTACACTGAATCATAAAGGATCTTATTGCAAGATCCATAAGGGGGAAAGGGCGTTTCATGTACTATGAGCAACACATGCAAAGGCCAAAAAGCGAAACAGGACATGGTCTGATGAAGCAACTGAAAGGATGTGGGTACTGCTGAGCACAGGGTTCATAGGAAGAGCGGCTGGAAACGAGGCTGGGAAAATGGGCCAGAAGTGGGAACTTTGTTCTGAAAATAGCGGAGAGGCAAGGGTAGAGACCGAGCAAGAAGTGATGAATGAGATCTGTGCATCCCTGGCAGATGTGTGGAGGAGCACGGAAAGGAGTTGAGGCAGGAGGTGGGCAGGTGTCTCAGAGCAGCAGTCTAGGGAGCAAATGACGGGACTGGGCTTAGAATCCTAGCACTCGCCAGGTAAAGTGGGATTCAGGCCAAGGTAAAGAAAGAAACGGGCTCTGATTGAAATGGACAGAGACAGAAAAGCCAGCTGGGGGTAAATTGGAACAGTGAGAGAAATCAGCATGGGTGCCCTGCGGAGAAATGGTGGGCCTGCGAAGGCAGGCAAATGAAAGGCTGGACTGATGAAATGCCCTTACAATAACCTCCTTCTTTCTCACTGGTCCCATGTTCACATGCATTTAAATCCTTCAGCTCCGTCTCCAAGATTTCCCCATCTCCACCCTCGTTCCATCCGACCTTTCACCATTCACCATCTCCACAGTCTCTCTACACAGAGCCGTTCTTCCCTTTATCTTCAACACGGTCACCTCAGGTCACCACCCCGATCCTCTCTGTTCTGCTCTTCCCGAAGCTTCCCACAAGTCTTCCCCGATCGCTCCTGACAGCTCCTCTCCTGCCTGTTGCATTTTCTATCACGTCTACGGTCGGTTCCGTACAATAAACGGTTGTCTAAATAGACTGCCTCATTGCTTCTTATCCAAGAAAACAGTAAGTTTTAAGCTGTAGGCAAGGACTTTTTGTCTTATATGTCTTTTGACTATCTTGTGAAATTTAGCACAAGAGAGAAAAAAAAAATGGTAGTAACCCAGAACATACAAGAGGATGCATAATTTGTATTGACATTGCAATTATCAGAGTCCTACCCAGGAATCCAAAACTGAAAGCAAACCGGAGCCACTGGGTATCATCCAAAGCAGTCATCTGAGGAAAAGTTGAAGTTGGGGATGTTTTGCAAATTTCAAGAGAAACACGTGGGATGTGATATTTAGAGAGTCGTCGTGTGGTGGAGGAATTTAGACTTATTCTGTCTTACTAAGGTATGAAAGCAAGGCAATAGGTTAAATATATATATATATATATATATATATATATATATATATATATATATATGCAGAGGGTTTTCAGCTCAGCATAAGGAGATGATTTCTCAGAGTCAGAGCTGTCCAAAGACAGAGCAGGATGTCCTACGAGGCTGTGAGTTCCTCTCTACTGCGGACATCCAAGCAGAAGCTTCACCACTGATAGTCGAAATTCCCTCCACTGTGGTGAGAACGTTTGGAGGTCAAATCCATCCCTGCAGGGGCAGGGGCAGGGAGTGGGGACGTGGGCTAGCGATTAAGAGCATGGACTTTGTTTCCTAAACCATAAAATGAGGAAAACGATATCTACCTCTCAGAACTGACATCAGGACTAAATGAGATAACATATGTAAAGTAAGTCACAGACTCAATTAATGGCAGCTCTTATTCTTTTGAAATAATTAATATAATAAGGAGATTTGCACACCGAGTGGAGGAGGCATCAAATTAGATATTTTGAAGTCTCTCCCAAACCCAAATGTCTATGACTGCAAGACAACGAGTACTTACTGGTGGACCTGGGTTTACGGAGATAGCATCCTCTTCCCTCATGAATTACAGTGATCATTCTGGCCCCAGGGCAGTAGTAAGGAGAAAATCACCAGATAGATGCTGGATCTAGAAGAGCCTGACATGTAGCTGGGAGCAGGGAGTTATTAAAAAATAAATACAAGAAAGAAATTAGAAATTGAGATTACCAAACAACAAAGCTAAAGTCAGGAAGAGATAGGGGGTCAGAAACCAGACTGGTATGACACAGATTAAAGGCCATCGAGAGATGAGAGTCTGCAGGAGGTCGGATGTAAAAACCAAGCAGGTGGGTCTGGTGGAGCCAGCAGTGATCACTATGATAAAAATTTCAGAATGAGGCAAGAGCTGCTTCACCCAGAGCTGAGTGACATGTTTCCCCTCGGAACAGGGCTCCAGATACCCCTCTTTAAATCTCCTGAGGGCACGCCCAGGGGAGGGGGCCCATGAGACTTTAAAATGGCCATGATGAGATACCCCAACACTGTTAGAGGTATGGAGCTGCTGAGCACCTGTCTGAGTCCGTCACCCTTACTTCCTGTCACAGGCTGCTGGCACACGGTGTGCCTGTCTTCTCCCAGCACAGCTTCTCTGGTCCTCCCTTGGTGGCAACTTACCTGCCCTTTCCATCCTGGTTTTGGTTTTACTGTCACCCTGCCTTATCCGTTCTTTCATTCAGACCAGCCTTGGTGCTCCCTCTCCCCAGGGCCTGACCTTGACTCAACCTTGGGTTTTTGTTTCTCCACTCCCATATCAGCACTGACCTCTAGACAGGGCACGACCTGCCACACACTGAATCACAGCCACCAGTCCAGGGCACACAGAGCCCTGCACTCATCCTGTGACCGGGGAGACAGCAACACCTGCTGGGAGTCAGAGGAGGGTTGTGGTGGAAGGCCACTTCTGACAACTCCACTGGCATCCCGGAGTTCCTGGGTGGCCTGACCGACTCATGGCAGCCTCCCCACATGGGCTTTATTTCAGCAAGAAGAGTAGTCTGGGCGTACACAGAATGTGGGCCTTTCTCTCCCACAGCCACAAATAGCAAGGCATGTGGATGGGTCCACAAGAACACACTGGAACCCTGTTGATAGCCCAAGGTTCAATTTCCCCCTTCTCTCACACCTTTTTTTTTTTTAAACGAAATCATTCTGTTGTCAACGTTGGTGAGGGTTAGCCTGTTTGACTGAAGCAGTAATTTGACAAGAGGTGTCTTCACTGTCATTCAAATTGTGGAATAGAGCTCTTAGCATATGCACGGTTTGTTCTCTCTGCCACCTCCATCTTCTCTTTGTGAAACTCTTGTCTTCCCCTTGGAGATACGCCTCCATAAAGATTAAAAAGAAAAAAAAAAACACATAATCCTGAGGGTCAGGAGGGCATGTGCTAAATTGACAATGAGTCAGTGAGCTCCTAGGTGCAAGGTGAGCTTTAATGCCAGAGGGGGCTCCGCAGGGACAGGGACGGGTGAGACATCAAGACACAGGGAGCAGCAGGGGTGCTGTTGGCAATGGCTGCCGCCTTTCTTCATAAATCCACCCCAATGAGTTAATTCCTCATAGAAAATTGATGAATGAAAGGCTTTAAGACTGGCACAAGGCTGGGCCTGGTGAGGGACCAAGATTGCTACAATGTCTGTCTGACTTGTCCCTGGGGTTGGGGGCAGGGTATCAAAACCAGGGAAGACTCTTGCGTGCACTTCTGTCCCTGACCGCTGCTCTTCAGACAAACATGTTGAATTTCAGACCTTTCGGGAAGTTGGGGCCAGCCAAAAATCTGGCTTTCGTGATGATAAAGCTTAGGGATTAGGAGTGTGAATTTTAGAATCAGAGACACCAGGTATTCTAGCTTGGAACCTTGGTCAAGGCATATAATTTCTCCATCTGCAAAATGGGGATGATCATACCTATCTTAGAGTACTCGGTAAATGATAGCTGTTATTAGGAGTGTGTCACACATGACCAGAGGTCACAGGTGCACCTCTGGTTCCCTACCAGGTGGGGACGGGCCAGTTGTGTGGCCTGGCATTAGGGTTTATTTAAGAACTATGCTACCACCAGAGAGAAGAACAGGACAGGGAAAAGAATATGTCTATTGACCTTTCTTGGGAATTGTAATCCCTTCTTGGGTCTAGTCCTTGCTGCTCGGCTCAGCCCCATTGGGCCCTCCACTCCCAAGCCATGTAATTCACAAAAGTCACCTGGGAGGGAAGCTGGAGAGCTTGTGCATGTCTGGCTCACAGAAACCCTTGGGTTCATGGTTGGGAGTCACTGCATGGTTTTCTCTGAGTACACTCATCTGAGTATAGTGGTGCACCAGGCATCTCTGAGCAGAGGGATGCAAAGATGAACAAGATGTGACCCCCGACCTTGAGGACCCTGCCTAGGGTGTAGGATGGTGAGTAAGTTAATAGCAAGGGTGCCATGTGAGGAGTGCCAGGTGGAGGTAAGCAGAGTGGGTGTGTCACCGGGAAAAGGAGAGGGACACCTGACTCGGCCAGGGCTGCCTCAACAAGCCAACCCTTCAGGGCTTACCGAAGTCACCTTCACTGTGAAGCCTTCACCAGCCAACTAATTCCCTTTTCCCATCCCACTGCCCCATCGAACCACCATGGTAGCATGTAAATCTTTGTTTCTCTGAGATTTATTTTTTTCTCCAGCCAGCACTAAATGAGGATTAAACTGGATAAAACAATGTTCATAAAGTACCTGGCACAAAGTTGTGCTCCACAAATGCTAGTTTTCCTTCATTCCTTTCTCCTTTGAAGGTGATGTCTATGCATAGATTGGGTTGAACCATAGGAAATTATCATTTTTATAGGTGTAAAATTGTTGAATATTACTGATTTCAGATGGTTCAAGTTAATATTTTTATATATGTGCTTTATTTATCTTTTTAATGGTCAAATAAAAATTATATGTACTTACAGTATAAACATGATGTTTTGAGATATATATATATATGCATACACATATATATATACACCAATGGAATACTAAATGGAATGGCTAAATAAAGCCAATTAACATATGCATTACCTCACATACTTATGTTCTGTGCTAAGAAACTTAAAATCTATTCTCTTAGCAATCTTTGATTATACAATATATTGTTATTAACTATAGTAACTTATTTCTTCTGTG